TCAGAAACCTTTTCATCACAGTTAACGATATCTTGAACAAGTTTGTTGAAAATATTCAGATTGTCTTCAAGATCCTTTGAAGGATCCATTTTAAAATTGAAGAATCTTTCAAGTAAGTACAACTTGTTAGGAGTAGAATTAAGCAAATATAAGTCCTTCAACTTTTGCCAATGTTCTTTTGTTGATTCAAATTTTCCAAAATTTCTCAAAACAGTGTGAGATTGATGTAAAATAATTGAAGTGTAACAACTCACATTCCCATTGAAAATTACAACTTCGAAATATGAAGATATTTCAAAATATAAAGTCTCCAACAATCACAAGAATCAACCACGATCGAATTTTGAACAAGCGAAGAACACAATCGTCCAAACTTCGTTGTATAACTTGAAACAGAAAACTACAACACCAAAATGTCAAGAAAATGCAAGAACATACCGTCAAAAGAAATCGTCGTCGGATTCCCTCTCACACGCCTCCATGCCCGACCAACACTCTATGTGTGTGGTTCTGTGCACCATCGACGACCTCATGCGCTGGCCACGCAGGAGAGCCTCCACCTGCAAATCAAGCTGGAGGTCTCCGTTCACCACCAGGTCTCTGACTTTTTCAGAAATCACGAAAACATGTTCGGTTTTTCACAATTTTTCAAATGTTCTTCGATCAGTTTTTCTGCTTCTTTTTTGCCAGCTTTCTGAACGATTTTTGGTCAGTTTTTCAAGCCAAATGACTACCTTGAAGCTCTGATACTAGTTGTTGTGGAATCTTGCTCCAAGGGTCGTCAAAACGGTATTTTTGGGGCTCAATTTCACATTACATTTCTTTACCAAACAACGAATCCAAATGGATCCAACCTAGAACCACTATATTCACCTCGGTTGCTCTTTAATCTCACCCACAAAGGATAAGATAATGTTGATGATTTATAACCACAAAGGTATGAAGAAAATAATGAAAGAATACAAGAAACAAGACCAAAAATCAAAGGAAGTCACACGTTTTTTTTAATCGAAAGAGGCTACCGATTTTCTCTCTTTTTACACATGTTTTCTTTCTTCTCTTTTCACACAAA